CGGCAGGTCATCCTGGGGGCCATCACAGGGGAGGGTGGCATCTTGTTCTACATCTCGAAAGGCATCACGGAGGGCGTGTTGGGAGATGTCACGGACGTGACCTTCACATCTCCAACCAAGTTCATCGTGTCCCCTCTCACTGCTCCGTGGTTTCCATTCATTCAACGTTTGGCGAAAATATCATTCCTTTGGGTTACTTACAATATTTATACTACAAAGGAGCCAAGACCCTGTTTGAATCGATAAAGCCCCAACATTCGCCTTGATTCCTATTCACATTTATTAAGGTCCCTGCTTTAGTCTTGACTCGTAGCTTTGGGGTCCGGCTCGGACCGAGAGACCGCGACTTAGGACGTCTTCGTTGACCCGAACAAGGACGTGACGAAGGCTCTCTCTTTGGGCGCACCTGCGGCCCAAGCGATGCCCACCGGCCTGACAGGCAGCTGCCCAAGCACCATGGATTGCAGCAACTACTTCTGTGTGTCGTCGGCCATGACCAAGAACTGGAAGAAGGTTAACAAGGATGCTTATGAAGCATTGTCAGAGTGCAGCACCTACTTCCCGCTCTTGAATCACGGCTGTGGCTCGGACACCTGCTACTTGGAGGCCGACAAATTCTACACGGAGTCCATCGAGGGCGGCACCATCCTTGACGGGGGCGCCCTAGATGCCAATTGGGACTTTCCACCTGGTTTGCAGTTCAGAACAGCTTAGGAGGGTTTAGTGTTTGGGAATCTGTGCTGAGCACCTGCTTCACCTTATCCTCCGATCCTGTCTCGTTTGTCCTACAGGGGCCGGAGCAGTTCCCAACAGTATTCCTTGGTGTCCCCTGTTATAAATTATAGTTCTTGTGAGACATAGCCCAAAACACGATGCTAATCTTCAAGGTCTTAAACCCTAAACCCTAAACCAAACCGTACAGTCTAAACCCTAAACCCTAAACCCCTAAAGCCATAAAACCCTGACCCCTAAGCCCTGGTCTAGCCTCGAGCCCTATAATTATAAGCCCTACATGAACCCGAAGGTTTTCCCAGAAAAGCCACCTTCTGCCCGAGGTGCCTTCTCGGGAATGGGGGACGTTGCCGGGGGAATCGTGGGCTTGATCTTCTCCCTGATCATCATCACCTTCTTCTTGTTCTGCCTTGTGAAGCTCTTGCAGACCCTGATTATGGGCACCGCGAAGAAAGTGATCATGCGTGCCACGAACATGAACGACTACGTCGCCATCCTTGTTGGCCTTGGCATCACCTTCATCGTCCAGTCCAGCTCTGTGAGACTTGGCTGTGCAAGTGGGCATTGCTGGCAGCTACATAGTTGGCGCGTGAAAGCAAGATGCAAAGTAAGACAACGAGAGTCTGAGCAAAAGACGAAGGACCACCTCCACACTGACCCCACTCTGCGGTGTCGGCGTGCTCCCGGTGCACAAGATGCTTCCCATGACTCTTGGGGCAAACATCGGTAGCTTGGCAGGATCCGTAAACCCTTCAAAGACTCCATGATGAAGGAAAAGTGCTTGGAAAGGCTGGAAAGACGCCTTAGGCCCTAGGGCCAAGTAAGCGATTGAAGCAAGATGACTGTGACAGTGTATATCATTCAGCTGGTGATGTAGTTAAGAAAAGCATGTGTGATTGGTTCTGTGGGATTCACAGACAGTTTAGCCAGAAGTGCAGGTAAGATAGTCAAGCCATGTCATGTAGGAAATGCAAGCAACCGAGTGAGTACAGGCACGTGATGTCTTATCAGCGTTGCTGATTGGCGCACATCTTAGCGGTAGCATCGGAAGATGGGGTCATGGGCAAGACCGGAAGTAGAGTTGGAGTGTTGGTGAAACAGGTGTCGCTGACACTGCCGTTGTCCCCGATTCAGCCCCGAACCCTGAACCCTGAAGCCTGAACTCGAGCCCTAACCCCGAAACCCCGAAACCCTGCACCCGAAAATTTACCCCTAAGCCCTAATCCAACCGCTGATTTTTCTCGCTAGGTACCACGTTCACGTCCATGTTGGCTGCCTTGGCAGTGATGCTGGGCTGCTTAGAGGGACTTCTCTGAAGCCATGGTCGGGGCCAAAAATCGGGGTTTGATTGGGTTCTCATGAGGGTTTAGGGTTTAGGGTTTCGGTTTAGGGTTTATGGGTTTAGAGGTTTAGGGTATTTAGGGTTTTCGACTTTAGGGTTCAGAGTTGAAGGCGTCCTTATAGGCTTTTGCAGGAGCATGGTTTTAGCGACTCTGACCGGGGGATGCAGGGCAAAGGCCAGGGTTGCCCAGCTTCTGCTCCTTGGGGGTAAAGCCGTAGACATCCCTAAACCCTACATGCCGAAAATAGGGGTCAAGAGGTCTCAACAAAAAAAGGATATAGGGGCCTATACTATTTTTTGGGGGTTCCTTATTAGGTATAAGTATAGTATCATGGGCCGAAAAAACCCTATTCTAATGATTGAGGCCCGTATATTCAACCCTGATGAACCGAGGATGAAGCCTGACAGCCTCCAGATCGCCTTTGTGCATCTTGCTGGGGCTCGTAAGGGTACTGAATCCACCCTTGAATGGCTTGGAGTTCGACTTCATTCCCTTAGAGTGCTTTCGGGGCCTCTGTGAGGGTTTTTGGGGCTTTGGGTAAGCATCACTTTTCGGGGAAGGGAGGGGGCGTTTTTGATGCAGCCGTGTTGCAATCGAACTTACGCCCTGACCGGACGATCGCGAGGCATTTGTTCTTCAACATCATCGGCATCTTGCTTCTGGGTTCGACTTAAAAGACACTTTTCTTACGTTGCGTAGAAAGATAAGGACGTGGATGCAATTTCCTAACTTCCTAGAAGAACCTGAGACACAGAGAGGCATATCAATCTTGTCAGAACTCGGATTAAACACCGCAAAACTCGTAGAACACCCAAAAGCCACCTTTAACCACGCTTTCTGACATCACACAAATCCCGAACAACATCCTAGGCCCTTACTTCTCTGAAGCCATTGTAGAAAGAGCGCAGGATCTGGTTTCCGGTGCCTTTCATGCGACGAATTCCCATCAAGGCTGCCTGCTTGCTGGGATTCTATGCCTCCTACTGGCACCTGGGCATCACTTTTTTTGGGGGGTCCTCAACCCTAAACCCTAAACTCTTGACCCCTAAACCCTAACCCCTAAACCCTAAACCCTAAGCCCTCAACCCTAAACCCTAAAACCCTAAACCCCTAAACCCTCAAAAGGGGTTTCTGCCAGGTGTGCGGTCGACAGTTTGGGATGCCACTGGCTTCCACTTTCTTGGGGATTTCATGGTTGATTTCGGGGTTCTAAACCCTAAACCCTAAACCCTAAACCCTAAAAAGAGGGGGTTCTAAAGGGACATCATATTATATGGTGCCGCGTCGCCGCGTCAGTGCATCCTGTGGTAACAGCTCCAAGAGCCCCAAGAGCCTTAAATCCTAGGGTTTAGGGGTTTAGGGTTTAGGGTTTAGGGTTTCGGGTTTAGGGTTTAGGGTTTAGGGTTTAGGGTTTAGGGTTAAGGTTTTAGGGGTTTAGGGTTTAGGGTTTAGCCCCAAAACTAAGGCGTCCGGTGCCCCCAAAACCCTAAACCCAGAACCCTAAAACCTAAACCTCTGCCAGAACAAAGGCGTCTGGTGCCCCTGATCTACATCTTGGTGATGTTCGTTGCCGTGCCAGGCCGGATTTGGCAGCGAGGATGTTTTTCGGATTTTTAGTTTACGGCTAGGGTTCATGTCTTTAGGGTTTAGGGTTTAGGGTTCATATTTTTAGGGTTTAAGGCTTGAGGTGTAGAGTTCCGGCCTTGATTCTTAAGGATCTAGAGCTTTGGGTTTAAGGTTCTGGTTCTGCTCATTGCGGGGCTCGAGTGTGCGTGTAGTGAGTATTTGGGTGAAAAGGCTTGCCGTCTCAGCTTGTGGATTGCATGACGGAAACGTACCACCGCTTGGTGATGTTGGGCAGTGATGATGAGAAGGATGCTGACGATGCTGATGGCGATGCAGATGGTTATGGTCATCAGGCTGTCGTCGTCGTCGTCGTCGTCGTCGTCGTCGTGGTCCTTGTTTATGGCGATGACGACGATGATGCTGATGCTGATGATGATGATGATGACGAAGATTAAGATGATGCTGGTGATAATGATGGTGGTGTTGATGATGATGATGATGATGGTGATGATGATGATGACGACGACGACGATGATTGTGATGACAACGATGATGGCAATGTGGGCGATTACGTTGGTCAAGACGAAGTGGGAAATGAAGTTAACCACGATGTTATTCTATGGTTGAAGTTGACGGAGAGATTCGTGAACGAGAACATCATGTTGATGTTGCTGTGATGGTCATCAGGCTGTCGTCATCGTCGTGGTCCTTGTTTATGGCGATGATGACGATGATGCTGATGATGGTGATGATGATGACGAAGATTAAGATGATGCTGGTGACAATGATGGTGGTGTTGATGATGATGACGACGAGGATGATTGTGATGACAACGATGATGGCGATGCGGGCGATTACGTTGGTCAAGACGAAGTAGGAGATGAAGTTAACCACGATGTTATTCCATGGTTGAAGTTGACGGAGAGATTCGTGAACGAGCAAATGATGGTGATGATGGTCATGTAAGGTGATGGTGATGGGCGCTGATGGCTATGCTCAAGCAGGCAATCGAAGTGATGATGTTGGTGATTTAGGATGCTGAGAGCACCCAAGCCCTGAATCCCACGAACCCTTGACGCTCTTCAGAAGCAACCCGCCGGTCTTCACCGAGCTGAATCATCAAAAATAACCTGCCTGCCCCCTAAGCGTCAAGACATGAGTTCTACATGCAGGACTTGAAAGAGCCCTACAGAACCTTAAACCCTAAACCCTAATTCCCTATAGAGCCCTAAACCCCAAAATTTCAAAGAGCCCAGACCTGAAGGTGTCGCGCTCGCCATCTCGCTGCTCTACGGAGCCAGCGTCGCCGGGGGCATCGTCGTCACGCCCCCTGGCCCTGCAGTTGGGGCTTTGGGGGTTAAGGGAGTTTGGGGGTTTAGGGTTAATAATTAAGGGTTTAGGGGTTAAGGGGATTTGGGGTTTAAAAGAGTTTAGGGGTCTAGGGTTTAGGGTTGAAAAGGGTTTAGGGGTGTAGGGTTTAGGGTTAATAAGGGTTTGGGGTTAAGGGTGTATAAGGGATTAGGGGTTTAGGGTTTAGGGCTTATGAGGGTTTAGGGGTTTAGGGTTTGGGGTTTATGAGGGTTTAGGAGCTTGGGGGTTTGAAGTGCATGGGTTTCGGGCAGGGTTTTGGAAGCCCCTCCCCCCGCCCCCGTGATCACCTGTGACCAGTGTGGACGCAAGGCAGTCAAAGAGCGCCTACTGGCCCAAGTAGTGTAGAAGCGTATACCTATACTAATTGCCAATCTTATTCCTAGGGTTCCTGACTATAACCTATATATGGGAGTTTCCGAAAATAAGGGGTACCATATTTTGGGGTCCTTATAATATGGATCCTATTATTTAGGGTGCTATATTTGGGTCCCCTATTTTCGGAAGCCCCCATATCATGACATACCTCAAATCCTTATTCTAATCATCAAGGGCCCTATGGTGGAAGCTCGCCTTTGAGTCCGCAATCAAACTGACTCGGATACTTCCCGACTCAGTAACAGTTGAATAGCAAATATATAAATAGATAAACATCTCTCTATAGATATGATATGTACATGTATTTGTTATTTATGTGTTTCTAAGTGGGATATATGGGGGCCCTACATGTTACCCTTCTTATTATAGACCGGGGAGCCTGACTGTGGCGGGAGCATGATTGGTGCCGTGTACCGCGATGTGACGCGAGCACGGCCGTACCGGGACCCTAAACCCTAAACCCTACACCCTAAACCCTAAACCCTAAACCCTAAACCCCAACCCTAAACCCTGAACAGCTGCAAATACGAACGGCCACGATTGTTAACATTGGGGATCCATGACTCCCTCAAGCGGCTGGCTTTCGAGACCGCAACAAGGAGCCCCCAGGAGCCCCGTTGTCTTATACTTAAGTACTTTAATTTGGTTCAGTGTGGGGTGTAGAGATCGTCGAAAGCATCTAGGGCTGAGGGCCCCTTGGACAAAGCCAGCACTGGTCTAACCGTCAGAGCCTATGCTTCTGCGGGTCGAAACGGGTCAGAATCTGGCTAACTAGTATAGAAGCCTCAATAATAGCTAATTCTAGTCCTTCCCTTCGTGCGCATATTATTGCAACCATTACTATTACAATTGCCATTATTATCTTCGTTGTTGTTGTTGTTGTTGTTGTTGCAATTATTGTTAATATGAAAAAACTATACTCTAATCCAGAGCGCTAGTCTAATAGCCAAGGCCGCTGTATTAGCTTTCGACGTTGCCTTGAACTCCGGTACGAGGGGTGAGGTTCGTGATTTCAGAGCCGTGCTTGCTCAGAGGGGCGAGTGGCTTTGGGTTCAGGGTTTAGGGTCTCGAAATCTTGAAACCATCCATCATTGAGAAGGCTCCAGTCCGTTGTTGCCCCCACAGCTGTGAACAGCAACAAGTCAGGTGCAAGGAACTCGCAATTGTTTCGCGGCTCCTTTACGAAATGCCTAAAAATCAGGTTGCTGGCCATTGGCGTCGTCGCCGGCTTCATTGCTTGGTGGTGGATGGGTGGTTGCTACAAGGCTCGGCTGAGAGCAGAGTTGAGAGTTGAGGGGTTCAGTCCGGGGCCTCGGTTAGGGCTTGAGGTGTTCAGGGCTGAGGGGTGCAAGCTTGGGACTTGAGACTGTTGCAAAATTCCTCCCCAACCTCCAACCACCCCACAAACTAAATTTCAACTTTCGAAGCTGGCAACGAGACGTTTAAAGATGCTTTTCTGGTATTGGGGAGACAGCAAAACTATGATGAGAGTAACCCGGAACATCAACATTACGTAATGCAAAACGCGATGCACAAACAAGGGATCTTCAACAGCAAACGCCAGGCAACTTAGGGTCGACTCTGTATGTTATTGGTATTCTGCTAAGTCAAGAAGACATCATATACCGAGGCTTCATCACAGAAAGCTTCGTCACCGAATGTTTCGTCACCGAATGTGTCGTCACCGAATGAGTGTCCACCCCCTGGACACATCATAAAGTCCTGATTGCACTTGTCCCCATCTATAGATTCCCGTGAAACGAGTCTAGATTTGTCCTCAGATGACGAAGGCACATAATTGTTTAAATGAGGTTTTCATGTTTCACTAAACCCAGTAACTGTAGGCTCGATAGAGTCGAGTCAGTCATGTGTGCTTCCGGCTTCACGCCGCCACAGATCCGACGCTGCTTATCTGACATTAAGGATTCTGTGCTCAGGCCTCCGTGTCTGCACGCTGAGAAAGAAGCTGGCAACGATGCCCAAAACCCCTACTTGCCAACCGCCCACGACTACAATTGACCGCAAGAAACCATTCCTGAAGCGGCCCCAAACCCGAACACCCCAAACCCGAAACCCGAAAAGCTTCGAGCCTGGAGATACTAAGAGACAGGCATGAAGCCTACAACCCCAACGCCTAGTAGCAACAATATCTTGCAATAGTGACAGTCAGAAATAGTAATCGCAATTGTTACGAACTTCACACTTGTGCGCAGGTGGTTTCCAAGGAGCAGCGCGAGGAGCGTGCCGCCGAGATGGCCGCAGAGATGGGCGAGAAGCCTGCCGAGGAGATGCAGCCGTGGTTTAGAAGTTTAGGGTTTTCGGGTGTTAATTTACCGTGTCTTTACGGGCATTGCAGGGTTTTCGCGGGGGCTTGTGCAAGTGTTGTAGGGTCTTGTTCGAAGTCTCAGTTGACTTTCAACGCTTCTGAGCTTTCGGGCTTTGCCGGTCTAGTGCTTGGGATTCAGATTGGGTGTTTCAGAGGACAGGGGTTCCACTACTAGGTTCCCCAGTGGTACCTTTGTGTCCTTTTGCTTTTTGGGTTCCCTTATTAAAACCAAACAGTAGGACAAAGGGATAAAAAGGGTACCCTTGTTATAAAGGGGCTACCGGGGAACCTAGACTATAGACCCCAAGCGGCGGATCCATGCTATACAGACCCCAAGCAAGGTAGACCGATGTTGAAGATTAATCCGTTGAAAGTCTTCTAAACAGTTTGATGAAGCTTGTATAGGCCCTTCTAAGAGCCCGGAAACAACATGGCAATCATCCAAAACCCAAGGGGCGAAGCTTGGGCAGAGGTTCAGGTCCATATCCTGAGGGCCTGAAGGTAGTGTGTGATGGGTCGTGGGTTTACGGGTACTTACTGATTCTTTAGGCCCCTATATTCGACCCCCGGTTGATGAACTTACTTTATTCTACAGGCCCCACATCTTAGGATTCCTACTCTAATTCTGTAAAGGGGCAGGGGGTTGATTTTCAGGGGTAGACCCTAAACCCTAAACCCTAAACCCCTAAACCCTAAACCCTAAACCCCTAAACCCTAAACCCCTAAACCCTAAACCCTAAACCCCTAAACCCCTGAACCCTAAATGCCCCCCCTCCAGAAAAGGGAGACTCACCGGTTGCCTTCATTTCGAAGCCCTTTCTGAACACCTATTTTTTCGAAGCCTCAACCCTACACTGCCCAAATGTAGGGGCCTAAATAATTACCTATACTACTTTTTTTT